GGAAAGGCAGCAAAGGCAAAAACAAACAAGGAGGACTACATCAAACTAAAAACCTATGGCACAAAAAAAGACTATCAAAAAAATGAATGAGAGAAAATATTTGCAGATCTTACATTTGATAAGGTATTAATGCCCAAAATATATAAAAGAACTTCCACAACTCACCATCAAAAAAAAACCCTAAAAACTTCAACTAAAAAAATAAGCAGAGGGTCTGAATAGACATTCCCCCCACAAATATGCAGACAGCCAACAGGTAGATAAGAAGGGGCTGCTTGACACAAACAATCATCTTCCCCGGTGGCTCAGAGGGTAAAGAATCTGCCTGCAATGCAGGAGACCTGGGTTGGGAAGATCCCTTGGAGAAGGGAATGGCTACCCACTCCAGTATTCTCAACTGGAGAATTCCATGGACAGAGGAGCCTAGCAGGCTACAGTCCATGGGGTCGCAGAGTTGGACACAACTTGAGAGACTAACACAGGGAATGCAAACGAAACCACAATGAAATATCACCTAACACCTGGTAGAATGACTAGTATCAAAAAGACTAAAAATAACAAGTAGCTGATAAAGATGTAGAGAAAAACTAATCCTTGTGCACTGTCGGTGGGAATGTAAATTGGTGCAGATACCATATAAAATGGTATAAAGAAGCACCATATCATCCAGCAACCTCTGGGTATTTATCTGAAGGAAACAAAAACACCAACTCAAAAAGATATCTGCACACCCATATTGACTGCAGCATTTACACAAACAACTTAAGTGTTCATTGACAGACAATGGATAAAGAAGTTGTGGAATATGTGTATCAGCTATAAAGCAAGGAGGAAATCCCACAATTTGTAATAACAATGAATGAACCTTGAGGGCATTATGCTAAGTAAAACAAGTCAGACAAATACTGCATGGTCTTACTCACATGTGAAATCTGTTCAGCAAAAACAACAATAAAGAAAACCAAACTCACAAAAACAGAAAATAGGGTGGTTGCCAGAGGCAGCAAGCAGGGGGTGGGCAAAAGAGATAAAGGTGCTCAAAAAGTACAAACTTCCAGTTATAAACTAACTAGTCTTGGGGGTGTAATGTACAGCATGGTATTTCTTTTATATATACATACACACTTACACACACATAGATATTAACTGTATATTAATAATACTGCATTCTATAATTAAAAGTTGCTGAGAGTAAATCTTAAAAGTCCTCACCACAAGAAAAAAAATTTGTAACTCTGTGGTGATGGATGTTTAGTAAACTTACTGTGATCATTTCACAATGCATACATATATCTAATCTTGTTTTAATCCTATTGTATGAAGCTAATATAATGTTATATGTCAATTATATAAGTTTTATTAATGAATAAAAAATTAATAAAAAGATATAACTCAAGAAAAGTCAAATGGAAGAGATACAGAGGGCAAGGTATGTGGGAAGGAGTGCAGAATTTTCACGCCTTTTCCTGGCAAGCCACTCTCCCTAAATCTGTATCTGTTCACCAACCCAGAAGCTTTCCAAACCCTCTGGGGTTTTCATGGAGTCATCGTTACCATCAGCATGACTGAATAACCACTGGCTATGAATGAAATTAAGTTTCCAACTCTTCTACCCTCCTAGGAGGTTTAGAGCGGGACTGAAGAGCTTCAACCTTCCAATTACACAGTTGATGCCATAGGCAACCTAATGGAGTTAGGTTGAACCTAACTAAGAATTAGCAATTCTTAGGTGCTTTCCAAAAGTCACCTCATTAAAATAACAAAAGCCACCTTTATTGTTCTCTTTACTTAGGAATTTTTAAACGTTTTTAGGAGATCTGTGCCAGAAAGGGATGAAGACCAAATATATATTTCTTATAAAATCAGTGTCTTCCAACTCAATACTAAGAAAATTTGATTTTTAAGAGTGAGCAAAAGATATGAATAGACACTTCCAAGAAGATATACAAATGGTGTGTGCATGCATGCATGCTCAGTTACTTCAATCGTGTCCAACTCTTTGCGACCCCATGGACTGTAGTCGGTGAGGCCCCTCTATCCATGGGATTTTCCCAGCAAAAAGACTGGAGTGGGTTGCCTTGCCCTCCTCTATGGGGTCTTCCCAACCCTGGGATGGAATCCATGTCTTCTGCATCTTCTCCATTGCAGGTGGATTCTTTACCCCTGAGCCACTGGGCAAATATACCCAATATTATTCATCACTAGAGAAACTTCAGTTAAAGCCATAATGAGATACTACCATGCACACACTTAAATGGCTACTGTTTTTAAAATTGGTAATACCAAATGTCAGCAGAGATGCAAGTGGAACTCTTATACATAGCTCACAAAGTAAAACTGTACAGCCACTTTGGAAAGAGTTTGGTAATTTCTTAAAAGTTAAACTTACTGTTTGACCCAACAATCTAACTTTTAGGTACTGACCCAAGAGAAATGAAGTCAATGTTCACACAAAGCATAAGCAAATGTTCATAGCAGCTTTATTCATGATACCCCAAACAGGAAACAATCCAAATATTATCTAATGATGAATAGAAAATAAATTGAGGTATATCAGTACAGAGAAACAATACTCAACAAGAAAAAGGAACAAACTACTGATACATATTGGATGAATCTCAAAAGCGTCCTGTTAAAGAAACTAGACACAAAAAGCTAGGCATTATTTAATTCCATTCATATGAAACTCTTGGAAAGTCAAAATTATAGTAAGTATTGGTTGTCTGTAGCTGTAGTTGGGGAAAGAGATCAACTACAAAGTGGCATGAAGGAATTCTTCGGGGAAGACTGAAATGCTGTTTCTTGACTTTGATGGCAATTACACATCTGGATACATATGTTAAAACTCAAGCTGTACATTTTCAATGGGCAGATTTTACTATATGTAAATTTTTTTTTCATTTATTTTTATTAGTTGGAGGCTAATTACTTCACAACATTGCAGTACTATATGTAAATTAAGTTACTAAAACTAATTTTTTAAAGTTATAGTAAAAAGGACTTTTTAAAAACTTTTTATTTTGTATTGGAGTATAGCAAATTAACAAATAATGTTGTGATAGTTTCAGGTGAACAGTGAAGGGACTCAGTTATACACATTACATGTATCCATTGTCCCCCCATACTCCCCTTCCATCCACGCTGCCATATAACATTAAAATAGAGTTTCATGTGCTATACAGTAGTACCTTGTTGGCTATCTATTTTAAATACAGCAGTGTGTACATGCCCATCCCAAATTCCCTAAGTATCTTTTACCCCATTCTTCCCTCCTGGCAACCATAAGCTCAGTCTGTTAGTCTGTTTCTGTTTTGTAATAAGTTCATTTGTATCATTTCTTTTTAGATTCCACATATAAGGGATGTCATACAATACTTCTTCTTTGACTTACTTTACTCAATGACATTCTCTATATCCATACATGTTGCTGCAAATGGCATTATTTCATTCTTTCTAATGGCTGAGTGTTATTCCATTGTATACATGACAAAAATTCAGCACCCATTTATGATAGAAACTTTTCAGAAAGTGGGCATAGAGGGAACACACCTCAACATAATAAAGGCAATATATGACAAACCTACATTACCATTATACTTAATGGTAAAAAGCTGAAAGCATTCCCTCTAAGATCAGGAACAAGACCAGGATGTCCACTCTTACCACTTTTAGCCAACATAGTTTTGGAAGTCCTAGTTACAGCAATCAGAGAAGAAAACGAAGTAAAGGGAATTCAAATTGGTGAAGAAGAAGTTAAACTGTCACTGTTTGCAGATGACATGATACTATACATAGAAGATCCTAAAGATCTACCAGAAAACTACTAGAACTCATCAATGAATTTGGTAAAGTTGTAGGTTACAAAATTAATACACAGAAATCTATTGCATTTCTATACACTAACAACAAAAGATCAGAAAGAGAAATTCAAGAAACAATTCCATTGACCACTGCATAAAAAAGAATAAAATACCTAGGAATAAACCTACCTAAGGAGACAGAAGATCTGTATTCCAAAAACTATAAGATACTGATGAAAGAAATAAAAGATGATACAAACAAGTGGAAAGATATACCACATTCATGGACTGCAAGAATCAACATTGTCAAAATGACTGTAAAATCCAAGTCTATCTACAGATTCAATACAATCCCTATCAAATTACTAATGGCATTTTTCACAGAACTAGAACCAAAAAAATCTCAAAATTTGTATAGAGACACAAAAGACTCCAAATAGCCAAAGTAATCTAGAGAAAGAAAAATGTAACTGGAGGAAATCAGGTTCCCTGACTTGAGACTATACTACAAAACTACAATCATCAAAACAGTATGGTACTGGAACAAACATATTAATAGAAATATAGCTCAATGGAACAGGATAGAAAACCCAGAAATAAGCCCATGCAACTATGGGTAATTAATCTATGACAAAAGAGGCAAGACTATATACAGTGCTGGAAAGACAGTCTCTTCAACAAATGGTGTTGGGAAAACTGGACAGTTACATGTAGAAATAAAGCACTTTTATGTCTTTAATTTCCATGACCTTATTTTGAGCTCTACTTGTTCATCTTGCAAACTTAACCGGGTTTTTGTTGGTTCTAGTCTTAATAGTTTTTACTCAGTCCTTCAGTATTACAGTCACATAAAAATACCAGGACTGCAGTGTCAGGGCTGGCATTCAGGTGAAGATACTCATGAGGTAAGTTGCAAATATGCTCTGTAACTTTGATGAGAAGCTGGAACTAGAGATACAGATTTGGGAGTCATCTGCAGAAAACAGTAGAAACCAAGGAGTTGACAAAATTGTACTCTTTTCTCACTGCCAGGTCTCACTTCTTACTAAACCACAGAACCACAGAAAATGCTTAAGTTAAATCTGAAAAAGTGAATGACTTGAATTTCAAAAGGGCAATTTTTCTATGAGAGTTAAGAAATAACCACTGAATTTAAACACAGTTTTGGTGTATTTATAGCTCCAAACTTGGACATCTTACCTGGTTTAATTTTTCACTGTGATTCAGCCTTGAAGTCTGCATTACATTTGATCTAGAATTCCTTTCCATGCCCAGTATTTGCTTCGGTGGTTCTATGTTTGAAGTGGGTTGTGAAGAGCATGTCTTTGCTACTGGGAAGCCTGTGGGACATGACCCTTGTTGCTCCATTCTAAAAGGCTGGGTGAAAATCTTACCTTTTGTGAATAAAAGGAGAGAAAAATTATCACTACCAATTTCTCGTTTATCTTCTGGTGGCTATATATAGAGGTGAGGCCCTTAGAACTAAAAAGTCAGTTTGCATTTTCATGTAAAGCAAATAAAATTTACATACAATGGAAATGATTAGTCATCTACAGAAGAAAAAACGAGAGATAATAAATGTGTTACTGAAAGATTGGGGGTTGCTAAAACTCTACTTAAGGACACCTGAAAATCATTACAAACAGCCAGGACTCAATAGGTAAAAATCAAAAAAGCTGTATCTTGTTTAGGAAACCATCTGCTTGAATTATGCTTTTCAAACTGGATAACCATCTAGTGGTATGGGGGGAGAGGTGGAGAATGAAAAGCTACAGAATAAAGAATATTATCCTAGAGTATAGATTCTTTTCTTCAAGGTTAATAGGTAAGGAAGCACTACAGGAGAAAGGTTTATTGTTAAAAAACATGAAAGATAACTGAACCCCAGCAAGGCCTAGCTCTTTCTTTACCCTAAGATCAAGCTGACAAGAGGAAAAAATTACTTCCAAGATAACCTGATGAGGAATAACAGACTATGGGTGGAGAAAATCAACAATTCAATCACTGGGAAGTAATGTCCACCCCCTACAACTCAATAAATTGTCAAACTGCTTTATGCAACTCAACCTCATATAAGTTGAATAGCATGAGTTACTCTCCCAAAGTTTGAGCACCTCAAGAATCCTGACACAGGGAGTTCCCAGATGGCCTAGTAGTTAGGATTCAGCACTCCTCACAGCTGTAGTCTGGGTTCCATCCCTGGTCATGGAACAGAGATCCCACAAGTGGCATGGCACAGCCAAAAAATTTTAAAAAAAAAGAATAATGATGCCGTTGAGGTTTAGACTCAAAACATTCAGTGGCCCCATAGTCTTCCTTGACTGTAAACCCCCTACCATATCCTTGTCAAATTACACTTCCCATCACAATTTAAATATTGGTTTGTAAATGTGTGATAGTCTCATGATTTGTCTGTATTAATCTAAAAGCACAGATTTTTGAGAAAAAGAAAAATCACTGAAATGGGCATAGAGTTCCCCAAATAGGCAGTGAAGGATTCTATACTGTCAAGGGTCTAGAGAGACAGTATATCAATAACCATATTAGTCTTCTGAGCCTTAAGAGAGACAGTAACTGGGGAGGCAGAGCACTGAATTAGCAGTAATGAGTTCAGCACCTAACTTTAGCCGTACCACTTTTCTAGCCATGAAATTCTTGAAAAGTCACTCAACTTTCTTGAGTTTTGACTTTCTGATCTGTAAGACAGTTACTCACCCAACCTGTCTATAGCATGAGAATCCAAGGTAAAATGTTATACAGATAAGGTGGTTATTACTACACTACATAAATTAGTACAATGCCTGCTAGGGTACGAAAGATTCAGTGATAGCCAAGATCAGATAGCAAATGCCACAGATCAGTATTATTTTTTAAACTTTTCATTTTCTATGCTATATCTTCTTTACCTGAACACACAGAACTGATGTTCATTTACAGCACTCCAGAGAGGGCTGATCTTATGTTTTCATAATAGTAGCTACCACTTACTGTGGGCTTACTAAATGCCAGGCACTTTACAGATCTTGTCTCATTTAATCCTCAGCATGACTTCAACAGCCAAGTATTATTATTCCTATTATAGAGATGAGGGGACTAAGGGCTTAGCCATTTTAACTCACCTGAGATCACATAGCTAGCAAGTGGTAGAGCCACGATTCAACTTCAACAAACTACTGGAGCTTAGTCATTACATGCATACATACCTACACATATGTACCACAACAGCTCCAAAATGTGCTGATCTGCAATACAGTTACCTTTACTAATGTGCTTACCTGCAGGCCATCCTCTCTGCTTTTCCTCTGATACACTCTTCTTCAGCGTCAACAAAGAACCTGCTCTGGTCTGCTCCACAGAAATAACATCTGAAGCGGCATTCAGCACTTCAAACATAGAAAGGAAGCCATACTGCACATACTGGAATGATCGTCCAAATCGATTGGCAAACGCCTTTTCAAAATCAGAAAGGAGAACAGGAGATAACGCCAAGAGGTCTTTCAATTCACTCTTCACAACAGCTGGAAGAATAGGGGGCACCTTTCCTCGGTAAGGTACTCGCCGGTGAGAGCTGGGACCAGAGCAAACACTGGCCCTTCCCTTCTGCACGGAGTTTCGAACCTTATGGTTGCTCTTCTGTTTTGCAACTAAATTTGCTATTCCTTTGGTGGACTCATCTGGGATGGCTAAGGAGGTGTGAAGAAAAAAAAAAAAGATCATATTTAGGTGAAAACTGACTCCCTTCTTCATTCTTTGCACCTGTGGTTATACAATTTTTTGCTCTCCAAGGAGCTGTGTATCTAGGTGGCACGATAAACATGAATCCCTGGTTACTCCATTTCTTGCATTTTATACAACTTGTTAGCTTCTCTACTGGAGGATGGAGAACAGTGGAACCCAACTTGTTAACACTGCTGCTAATTAACTCCTGAAAGATCTGAAACTCTAGAGATGAACAATAAACTTCCTTACAGTGATGTTTCTATGCTTCATGAAATTTAGAACAAGATTCCATAATTAAAAAGTCCCCTTGTTAAGTTTCTCCTGGCATATGTTAAAACACGAAATCATATGCAAAATGTAGTTTTCGTGAAAGCATAGCATTCTGGGGAGGGTTTCCTGACTGTGCTAAAGATCTAACTCTGCCCACAACCTCAAAGGTGCCTATGATCTCTCTTCTCCCTCAAGAAAGTAAAATCCCCTGCCTGGGATGCAGGATACTTGTAGAGCTAGAACAATTCTTTACTAAGTGATTATTATTACAAAGTTCATAGACCTCCAAATCTTAAACCTACCTTTCAGTATTACAGTACCATCCCCACAGGGGCAGACACTGACAACATCAGGCATATCCAACACCAGCTCCATAGTGGACCGGTACCCAAGGATTCTGAGCGGTAAATGGTTGCCAACCATCAAAAGGTACTCCTTTTCCAACTGCTCTGGGGTCAAACCATCTTTGGTGGAAATGAGAAGTGACCTTATTTCCTTCCTCAGGCATTGCTGTATACGCTCTTGTTCAGACATTGCACCCTACAAGATTTAAGACAGAAACATTGCTCATGAGGAAAAGCAGGCAAACCCAAGAGGAAAAATAATAATAAAAAGTTTAAAATGGCCCAAAGTGGAATATAAACAACTGATGCGCATTTTAAAGGTAAACGAGGCAGAGACAATAATACCACGAGGGTGCTCTGAAACTTGGGTTTGGCAAGGCTCCTACATAATTCAAAGTCTAAATCCCAAACTGTGATGATTAACCTAAGTGTGCCTCGAGAAATCCCTGCCGCGACCTAACGTGTTAAAAGTTTAAGTTCCTGGCTCGTTTTTTTGGGTGAAGCCTTAACTCTGCTTGTCCCGGATCTCACTCTACACTGTAGACTTCGTATCAGATACTCTCTGGCCCACTATTCGGGAACCAGGACCGGGAAGGAGGCAAACGCAGTACGCCTTCTTCCGCAGTGCGAGGGCTGGGCTCCGCGGAATCACGCTCGGATGGGCAGACTTTCTCCAGAGCCCAAACCTACGGAGAGGCTCCCCGCGTCGTCTTCCAAGTCTACCACCTTGTCGTTGCCCGCCCTGTACCAACTGCGCTCGGCTTGGGCGCGGGATGTTCACCTCTCCCCACCCTACCCCCCAAAGACTCTCAAGGGGACTGCCCATGGCCCTGAGGAAAAGAGGTAGGCGGGCAGGAGGCAGGCGGAGCACCCTTCATCGGCCCGACCCTGCCGGCCGCCCCTCACCCTGGCGCTGGCGCTGGCGCTGCCGTTGCGGGCCTGGCAACGTCAAAGGCGCACACGAACCAGCAGCCACAGACCCACAGCTGGAAGGTGGTCTGCGCGCTTGCGCACTAGTGCCTGAGGGCCCGCGAGGTGCGCTCCGGGCGCCGCGTTCCGGCCCCGAGGGCTCACGGCCGGTGGGACGGTTAGGTAGGACTGGTGGCTCCGGGATCTGGCCTGGGTTCGGTCCCAGTCCTGGGGCGGCCTAGGTCCCCTCCCAGGCAGCCTTCTGGGATGGCCGGCGCCTGCTTCTTGCGACGTGCTTGGAAGACGCGAGGTGAGGCAGCGCGCAGAAGAACCCCTCCAAACACCTCTCGGCCGGAGGAGAAGGAGGCTGCGAGGTTCTTTGCCTAGGTGTGCCTCTCAATCACCCGTGGAGCTTGTTTAAGAAGTGAAAAAGATGCTCGGGTCTGATCAGCAGATACTCTGATTCTAGCAGGTCTGGGTCTATTGGAGGAAATTTCAGGCAATTCTGATGCTTGGTGGAGAAGCGCTGCTGCGGGGCTAGATAGATGCAACTCCCCGCAGAGCGTAATGGGTGGGGCAACGAAGGCTTCCCGAAAGATTGGAGAACGTCACTGGAGATAAAAGAGTTGGGAAACTAAAGAGGAGGATGTATTTGAGGAAATAAGCTGGGGTGTATTTTACTGGATAGGTGGAATGAGCCAGATGTATAAGGGCCTTGAAAACCAGAAAATGGTAGTTTAAGAGGTGTAGACTAGAAAGGCAGAGTATGAAGACTTTTATCTTAAAATATATAATCTAATTAAAGGAACAAGAAAACCAAAAGGTAACTGAGGATGAGTCAAAGAAACCAGAGCGCACACATCTACTTTCACCTAAAATCCCACGACATTAAGAAAAAAGCTCTAAGGAACAAAATGTTTCATCAATGAACCAAGAATACTGAGTAATCTCAAAATACAAAAAAGATCTGTGGGATGGTTTATAGCAAAACGGATAGGGCTAAATAGCCAGTGAACTAAAAGCAAAGACATGAAGAATGGATCCAGCTGGACACCACTCCAACATCTGAATGACAGGTATTACACAAACAACAGAATGGTGGTGAGGGTTGGAGATTTGGAAAGAAGAAAATGTCTCAGATTTGAAGAAAAACACAAATTTTCAGATTAAATGGTTCCACTGAGTCCTTAGGATAATAAACGTAAGATCCCATTCTAGACAACATCCAGAAGAAAGAGAAGAGCTTTTATATAGAAATAGGTTACCTAGAAAGCAATGGAAATTATATTGCCATTGGATTTCTCAATGGAGCCATGTCTTCAAAACTGAAACTGAAATCCTTAACCCAGCCAAATCAGCATTTAAATGAAACACACAAGAATTCTGAAAATTTACCATCTCACTAAAAACCTGGCAGCAAAATGGACAATGAATTGAAAAACCATATCCCTGATTTTCACCCCATTATCTATGATAATAAGTAACATATGGTGCATTTACTACATGCTCTTAACATAGATTATCAAATTTTAACAATCTGAAAAAGTACAATTATGATCCCCACTTTAAACTGAAGAAACTGACAGAAATGAACAAGGATATAAAAAAGTGATAGGCAATAAAAACAAAACTCTGGATCGAATCTAGAAAGTTATTGGTGCATGATGTGAAAATAAGAGAGTTTTACCAAGATATTCTGGAGCTAAATCTCAGATCAATAACTGCAATCTGAGTGTCAGGGGCTGAGTTGCTTCAATAAGGGGACCCCATTTGGAAGAGTTAAGCTACACTTGAAATCATGACTTGCTTGGGTTTATAATGCACTGTCATTCTCTGAGAACTATCAGACTTATGGAGTTGCTACCTGGAATGAGGTGAGAACCATCACCTTAGCATCCTTCTTGCCTTTGATGGAGACACTCTGCAGGTATGTAGTAATGCTTTTGATGTACTATTTTGGCACTTCACTTGGCATTTTCTACCAGAATAGCCCTTACTCAATGAGTGAATGTGCCCATGTAAGAATTCTGTCAGTTGCTAAGATTACCTATTCCAACTAGTCACTTGGCAAGTAGGGTACTAACCACAGGATGAATTCACAGTCCTACTAGCCCTGCCCAAAGGCCAACTTGGCCCAGAATTTAATTCATTTATCACCTAACCCCTACATGCTCAGAATGTTGACAGCACACAGTGACAGTTGTGTCCTTTTCAAATTAGTGACAGTTACTAAGAAGTTTGAGTTCCTCCTTTTTTCCAGAACATTTATCCATAAGGGGTTCCAAGACCTTTGGGGAAAGGCTGGAGAAAAGGTTTGCAGTACTTAGGTACAGTGTTTCAGCAGCATCCTTCTTTAAGAATAGTTAGGCTACACTCCTGGGATCTGATTTAGTTCTTGGAACAGAACTGACAAGTCATGTTTCTCACTCAGAGTCCTCTGTTCCCCAGACCTAGAACTGTGTTTTGTTGGTTTGTTTGTTTTTGAAATTACACAAATTAAAAAGACTTAGTGAGTTGTTTGTTGATTTCATCCCTGGGACCCTACAATTAATTACCACAACCAGACCAATGTGTTTTCCATCCTGCCTATTATGATGACCAGAGAGTACTTGTCTTTGTTAATTAACTGTCTCCACCTGGTCTCCTCCCATTCCCCTGCTTGTGTCTGGGAGTATATTTCCATTGCAGCTGCTCCTAGCAGCATTCCTGCCTTAGAAAACAGCCAATAATGAGTTTTGTGTTGTTGTGTGTGTGTGTTTTAAGCTTCTGAAGCTTTAATATATGCCCCATAACAAGTATGAGAGACTCTTTTGAAAACACTGTCTGTGAAGGAGGAGGTGAGTTAGAAGCTCATGATAGAACTTGGGCAGCATTCCAACCTCCCAAAGTTTAACATTATGCCCAACTTGGGGCCATTTGATGTCACTGTTCTATTCCTCACAGCAATTACGCTAAACCTTTGCCATCCCTATTAAACTTTTGTACATATTCTTGCCTCACCACTAGAAAATGACTTGGCTCTGACTCCCAAAGACACACACAGAGGGAGAGACAGAGCGAGAAATAACTTTCTTTCTAACGTCCTCCAGCCATTCCTTCTTGGCGAAATCCTTGAATAAACAGTCCACGCTCACTTTTCCCCACTTTTTCATCCACCATTCCCTACTCAATCCGAAGCACTAGTTCTGCTACTCTGACATCTTAGTTTTATCAAAACCACCAATGACAAATCTGACAGATCGTAAGGACTTTTCAATATTTCCATGGTCAGTGATGGCTGCTGTTTCCTCTGTGTCCCCTCCCTTTCTGAAAATCTGGGTGTCTATAGTGCTGCTTTATTGAGCTTGGCACCTAGGTTTCTGCTCTTATTTCCTATTTCTGTTATTCCATTAAATGTCCACACCTACCAGGGTCTGGCCTTGGCTTCTCCTTTTCAATCTTCCTCCTCTGCCTGAGTGACCTTTTTCACTCTCACACCTTCAGCTTTGGCTCATGCCTTCCAAAACGCATGTTCATTCAAATAATACAGATTTTCTAGTTCTTACCATGTGCCAGGCACTGTTCTAGAATACAGAACTACAAGAGCAAGACAAAGTTCTTTTCTCCTGGACCTAAGGACAGACAAAAAGCAGATAAATATATAAAATGTCTAGTAACGATAACTATTAAGAAAAATAAACCAGGGTAAGCCAGACTGAGAAGGGGCTGCTTTAAACAGTATTTAGAAAACACTTTGACCGCTAAGATAGGGATTCCCAACTTGTGGTTCCAGAACATCAAAACAACTTAGAAACTTGTTACAAATTATCAGACCCCACCCTCGACTTGCTCAACTAGAGCCTAGGGGAAGAGGCAGGAAAAGCCCAACAAGGCAGTTAGCCCTCCAAGTGATTCTGTGCTGTGCTTAGTGACCTCATGGATTGTAGCCCATTAGGCTCCTTCTGCCATGGGGATTCTCCAGGCAAGAATACTGGAGTGGGTTTCCATGCCCTCCTCCAGGGGATCTTCCCTGTATTACAAGTAGATTCTTTACCAGCTGATCTACCAGGGAAGCCCCCAGGTGATTCAGATGGCCGCTAAAGTGAGAACTGCTGTTCCTACCCTACCCCCAGCCCTGATTCATTGTCCTAAATAGATGACTGGTGTGTGGTCTATCGGATTGATATTCTCAGCCCGCAAAGGTAGCTTGAGGGTTGGGGGGAAAGGAGAAGCTGGGGACCCCTCCGGTCAAAAGTAACCTCCACCCAGACTTTTCAGAAGGCAACCAAGTGGGGTCAGCTGGCATGCTCACAGGCCTCCAGGGAGCAAGATAAGAGCCAGACACTCACTGAATCTGCTGCAAGACGCTGGGTGCCGCCAGTTTTCTTCCGAGTCCAGGAGCGCAGGAAGAAGCGCGGATGAACTTCCCTTCCGGTGCGCAAGGAGGCTGCACAGCATAAAGTGAGGCCCACGAAGGCCGGGGGATCGAGTGGGGTTCCTGCGCAGCAGGCATTAGCCCTTGCAACCAATTCCATGCCTGAAGTTTTATCTTTATTTTGAAATACTGGTTTGGAAAAAGTTTGAATTGGAAATCCACTTGTACCATCACAGGTACTCCGAAAGAAGAGAAACCATTACAATGAGGAGCCTGCACACTGCAACTGGAAAGTAGCCAGGGATCGCTGCAACTAGAGAAAGCCTGTGGGCAGCCACGAAGATCCAGCCCAGCCATAAAGAAAATAAATCTTTTTTAAAAATCGTGTGAACACATTTCTCATCCATGGTAACAAAATATTTAAAGCTTATCAAAAACCCTTGATTAGGAATTTCATGTAGTCGTTTGATCTGCTGGAAGGCCCAGTTCTTGAAGCCCTCTGAGAATCACCTGCCCACCTCTTAATATGGTTTAAACTAGGTTTTCTCTGACTTCACTCAGGATTACTTGTCCCCTTCTTTGGGTCCTCATGGTAACATATAGATATCTGTGGTTCTCAACCAAGAGCAATTTT